GTGCAGATGGCAGCACTTTTACTCAACAAAACTTTCAGGTATGAGTGATTTCAGCAGACGGTAAATTACGCTTTGTCTTTAAACAAAGAGATGATCCCCTCTGCTTTTTAATTAATTGCATGGGACTTTGGTTTTCTGAATCTGGAGTGAATATCCCCTTTGAAAGTAAAGTAAAACATCTACTGAAAATTAACATCTGATCATTTTAGCCCCATGTTTCTCCTTGTAAATGGCATCATTTTTGATAAATTGCATAATTTAGGTTAATAACAGAACATGTGACATTTCTATTTTTCAGATTGGTAGCTTTTTTTGGTCTCAACAAAAATGATTCCATATTTGAATTGCTTTTCCTGTGGGTACACTACTACTCAGCTGCAGCTGAGGTGAAAGGCGCAAGAGGCATTTTGGTGTACATTCAGAACACTGAAATGAATACTCCTTTGGAGAACGGGCTATACAAATGAACCAATAATGAGGTGCATCATACACCTAATGACACATAAAACAAGTGTTCTGGTGTAAAATAAAACCAGTTTAGAAGCAGAAACAATATATCATTCAGAGCTTTTTCATGCTCTTTATACGAAAAGTATCTTTGCTACTGTAAGCTGACATTTCTAAACCAGCAATTGTGAGGGAGGAAAGGCCAAAGATGATGAGGTTCATGTTATTTTTGTTCTGCTCGATGGACCTTTGACACATAAGAGAACATTTTGATAGATCTTAAAATTAGAAGGTTGTGTGGTATGGAAACGTGGATGTCAAATGGAAAGGGAAACTGTCGGTCAACATGGCCAGGGAAATTATAGGGAAAGCACAGATGCAGGCATTTACTTGATTAGAAAATCAAAGGTCTTGACATACCAAGTGATATGTACCATTTATTGTACCAACAATTTGAATTGCTATGCAATCTATCAACTGTCTGGGAGAAATCATCTGTCCCAAGTGAAGTTTCATCATTAAAAATAGTAAATGATACAGGCGTATAAGACATTGGTCTTATGTTTGCATAATTAGCATATTGTAATATTTGCAGTAGGCCTATTAAACAGTTTTTGATTCCATATTGACTTCAGGCTCTCCCAATGTTTCTTGCTAGTCTTATTCATAATTTGTGTTAATAGGGTGAAACCACTGGCAGGTTTCCACATTCTTAATAGGAAAGCTTTTGACCTAACATAACATAATCCAAAAAGGTACATTTGTTGGAATGAAACTAAAGCATTAACTTTAAGTGAGTTGAGTGCTGACTGACATGGATGTAAGGTTGTTTTTTGAATGTGTAATATTCCTTTAACCTGGCAGATGTGCCATTGTGGCATAATAGTCTTTAGGCTGATTTATCAACCAAATATCTCAGAAAATATAGGATAAATTGCCATACATCTTTGTACAGACACTACTGACTTTAGTGATCCTCAGATTCATCTACCTCCATCACCAGGTCCATTACTCTTGTGAATAACCAGTCACTGCAGAGCTGATGACATTGCAGGGTAAATAACCTGTACTTAAATATGCATCAGCAAAACATTTGCATACTAGCAAGTCTGGAAGTCTTGTTTTAAAATATGCAATCAAATGTGTTTTTAGATTTACATTTTGTCCGAAAAACTTCTAAACAGACAATTCAAAAAACGTTGTTCTCCTTTCTTTCATAACAAATTAATTAATTTTACATCTCACACTTATTTAAAAGCTATATGTTACATCTATATCTACTCTGTTTTCAAATTAGCATCAATGCTATTGAGGGTACTAAATTCAACCGTCTCTTTCTGCATCCCAGCTTATTGAAGGACTTCTTACCTGCGTGCATTTAATGTACAACAGGCAAGCTCCACCCGATCATTGCAAATTTGTTTGACATGAAAGATGCATCTCTTCTCCCTCAGTCAGCACATGGTATGTACCGACAAACAACAGGCCTGAAGGAGTGTTCAAACCATGTTTTGTTTTTTTAAATCTCCTCCTCTTTGATCATAAATCCTGTTAACTAAAAACAGTATGTAACATGTTCATACAGCTGCTATGCTTTCAGCTATTTCGCTGGATATAAAAGTGGATTAAAAGGTCAGAGAGGGGATTTATGCATAATTAAAAGACAGTGACAACAAATAAAACAATGACATTTATTTATTGAGTCATAGGTTATACATTTCATGATATAATAGCGATATATTATTATTGGCAAAGATACTATAATCCAATTGCATTTCTATACATAAATACAAAATCTGAGGTAGGGCCTCAAAGATTGGTGACATTGAAAATAAATAAATGCATTTCACATATATGATATCATATATATTTCCTTTTTTCTTTTTTACATTTCACACTTATTTAAAAGATATTTGTTATATCAATATCTACTCTGTTTTCAAATCAAAATGATGTTATGGGCTGTCGGAGGCACATATCTATATCCATAGGCAGCAGTACCTCACGTAGAACACACAGAAATATATGACATTACTCAAGTAATTAGAAATGTAACCTATGCATTCATAGGTCAGACAACAAAGTGCCAAAAAGACACGACAAACATAACAATACCGGTACCATATGAGACAGACAATTAGCTATTCTGTGGTGTTATTTTGATATACATACAATATTCAACCATTAGAGGACATCTATAAGGCCAATGGTTACCTGAAGATGTTTTGTAACGTATTGGCAAACATCGAGGAACACTACATGGGATATGAATGGCAGTATCTTAACTTCCTATACGTAGATGACACATTCCTTTATTCTTCTAACGTTTGTTTTTCTGTTTTCACTACAACCCTAGTTTAAGTACTCTTTCTTTGGTTACCTATACTGCCCAAAGTTGACTTGCAGGCAAAGCGAATTAACGTTTCTTTTTCTGTTTTCTCCATCCTCCTCTGTAAGAAGGACAACCCTCTGTTTTTCTTAAATTCATGTAGAACAAAAGGCTCCCTAACGCATACATGCACGGACTTATTCTACTGAGAGAGAAAGGAGAAGGATTACAATACATGAACATTGAGTTACAGCAACACAAACTGCACATGCAAGCTCTTCGGTGTTATATTTTATGAGGCAATGTGGATTTAACTAAACCCTAAGCTGTTTTTTTTTATCGAACCTAAAGCACAGAAGCCCAGTAGAAATGGAAACACAGAGACACAAAACACAGAATGTACAGCTATTTAGCCGTGGCTCTTACGGAAATCATTCATAAGAGGCTTTTAGAGCATACTGTCCATTAGATTCAACACATGATTAAAAGGCCAGCCTGCCCTTATGGCCACCCCTGTTCTCAAGTGACTGGTGGCCATTGGATTCATTTTCTTTTGGAGCATTATGGTGTTGGCAGTTTCACCCAGCTCACAATGTGTCGACTAAGAAAGACAGAGGCATCGTGGAAAGAGAAATCTCCTCTAGTTCTACGCTAAAGACTGGCCATGCAAACATCTGATTGATAGTTAGATGGAGTTCCGTCAAACTAATACAGAGACAAACACCCACACACACACGAGCATACAGACATACATTATTATTACGTTTGAACGAATAAAGCTACTTAACAAAAGCAACACTGTGGAGCAAGCAAGCTATTTAACAACAGGGCTTTTGTGCTCATTAGTTGACTATGTTTTTGTATACAACCTCTTTAATAACATCTGTGCTATATGCATGTCGAGATTATGAAGAGACATGGCTTTGAGATACGGTTAAGGACACCCTTAAACGTCTGAGCAACGGTAATTGCATCCAAGTACAAGTAAACGCCTGCAGTGTTAAAAGCATTATAAAGCCAATCAGGACTTTGTGTCAACGTGAATGTGCAGACCCAAATAGTCAAAGCGTGGAAAGGTCTAATTGCTTCTGTGTTTATACATGGAGTTACTGTGTAGGTAATCGGTTGGCAACCGAAATGTTGACTGCTGTCATGTGACATTAAAGGACAGTGGGACTCCTGCTGAGCTGCACTGTTTTCTTTCCTTCATGCTGCGGAGTAGTCACATCTGAAGAGGACTTTGACGCCCACAGAAACACTCTAACAGAAGCTCATTAGTGCTCATGATGTCTTGACAGCACAATTTAAAGGGACTTGTGTTTTAAATTACAGCCATTTAACTGATTATGATGGATCACAGTGTGAGCTTGACTGAAATCCTTTCATTTTCTGAATATGAGGATAAAACGCAGTTAACAAAGTGCCAATACAATTTAAAGTTGGTTACAAGGATGAGGATGTTGTTCATTAATCTTAACTAGTTATTGTTTTACATTTAACTATGTTATAAAAAGCAATATACTTGATTTAGCACTGCACACAGTTGGGCACAAGTCACTCGTACATCCTGTATCGGCATCGCAAGGCGCGTTTAAGCAAAACTCAAAGTGATGCTGCGTTGAGGTACTCAGGAAGTAGTATTCTGACCCTCTGCAACAAACTCTAAATATAATTTAGCATTCGGATGGCTCAAGATTCTGTTTCCTATGCACTGAATGCTATTGTTCCTACAACTACCGGAGTAGTTTGATGGAAACGAGTATACCTGAGACCCTGTTTTTACGAGGACACAGAGAAGCAAGAGGCATAAGTCTGAAATGGCTAAGAGGTCTCCGAAGGTCAACCACAAACAACAAGAGACAAAGTACACTTCCAGAAAGGAGGAGGCCATTTTCTACGCTATTCTTCATCTACTCACACTTAGCAGCTGCTCCTAACAACTTTGAGCACGCGACAACACACGCGCTTACTACTCGTTTTAAAGAGTGTAGACTTTGTACAAGATAATACACAGCTAGCAAGAGAAACATGGGGTTTTCAGAGAGACATGAACACAAACACACACACATTCACTCTCAATCTCTTTCTTGCTAGCTCTCTCCTCTGCTGGAGGCTATACATATAATATATATATATATATATATATATATAATGATATATTTGATTTACTCTACTGATGTGATGCACATTGTTAAGATGGTTTGACTTGACAGGTTCACAACACATACAGAGATTAATACACTGTCTAAAATATAAGCACAGAGTGACTATAAGGTCAGGTTTTAGTGTGTTAAATTGGTTAAATGGCCACGTTACTAAAGGAAGGAGAGACTACTCTAGTGATGTCCTACATTGGGAATGTGTTCTTTACATTTTAGAATAATACAATAAAGGAGACCAGGAGTATAACTTAGTAAATAGACCAAGGGAGAGGGTATCACAAATAGTCACTTGGATTCAGAGAGAAAAATAGACCCAAGCTTCTGCCATACTGCAGAGTCATCCAGGCCGAAGTGTATCTACTGAAAGTGGTTATCAGGATGCATTCGCTACTCTACTGCGAAGAGGAGGCACACATTGCACATCGTGTAATCTATTTTTAACAAAGCAAGAGCGAGTGAGCAGGAGCTGCTGTGAATATACATATATACTGCTGGATAGGAACAAAATGTGAAACCAGAGCAATTTTCTTTTTCTTCTTTTTTCCAGAGGCTGATATTATTTGTAATGCTGTTGGAAATGTGTACACGAATGGAACAAAACACAGATCCCCGCCGAGCTCATTGAACCGCTGCTTCTCTGTCACACAATTTTATTTTTGTTTTCCTGTGTCTGCTCGCACCAAGTGATTCATTATCACACGCACACACAAACGCACGTACACACACGACTCCATAGGGGGCAGCTATGGTGAGTCTAATATTGCAAGTGCAGTCTGAGCCGTGTCATTTTTATGACACAATTTTCTCTTGGAATAAAGATCCCTGGGAAGGGTTCTGAAGTAATCAGTGGTCATGTGTGGGGGGCAATGATAGCCCATTAACCGAGTACGAAGCCGCAGAGGAGGAGTAGACCCCACCTGGGCAGCCACTCCTCCATGAAAGAAGAGAGGAGGGGGTGGAGAGGAAGGAGGGAAGGGAGAGGGGGACTGTCTGCAGATCCACCAAACAGGGAGGATGACAGGACACATGAGGGTGAAGCACAAACAGGAGAAAGGGAGAGAAGGGAGAGGAAGGGGTGTTTCCAGGTGGCCCCTGCAGGGGTTGGAGGTTGTTGGTGCAATTATGTCAGGGTAACTGCTACTGGTTACTGGTAGGTGCCGAGCTGGAAGTCCTTGGGGGGAAGTTTGAGGCCCAGAGAGTTGGTTCCCAGGGGGTCGGTCATGTTTTTGTAGCGTTCTCCACGGTGCTTCAACAGGAAGGGACCCCAGTCGGGCTGAGGGGAGCAGACCAGCTTCAGGCGCTGCGGGGGGGGGAGAGACACAACACAGGTGGGTTTGTACGAGGTACTTATCCACGGTCAGTTCATTAACCTCAGTTTGGAGAAACACACAGGAGTATCAGCACTGAAGATAACTAATGTTCTGCTTTAGACAGGGTCAGCATCAAAACCTAATTAAGCCACATAGAGTTGAGAACTCTTGAAAACATTTCAACTATTTTTTGTTTTTTTGTGTGTTTTGGTCTAAAGGTCATCATCAGCCTGTAGAGAATAACAAAGATGGCCTCCAGTTCTGTAACTAGTCTGTTTCTATATATTTTTCTCACTGGTATTGCTAATTCGGGCAAAGCATGCAGGTTATGTTGCAACCTAGAAAATCAATATCTGTTTACTGTAAGTGTATATCATATTTCGAATGTCTCCAATGCTTTACCTTGCCGTGAGACAGACCTTTCTACCATTATCAAAGAGCTGCATGTGGTTCAAGGGCCGCGGGTTGCCTAAACCTGCTCTAGGTTATGTCAATAGCGGTGGGTGGGAGACAGAGTTGTTTTCTTAAACAATAGCTTGGTTGTTAAAGGTCCTGATATACGGACTGATTTGAGTTCTTTTTTCTAATACAACATTTAAAACCTAAAATTAAACAAGTGCAGAGAAAGTTATAGGTCTAGTCCTTTTGCTTGTAAAACATAATGGAAACATGAGGTTTCTGTCCTAATGCATAAGTAAAAACGTTGATGATTAAGCTTTCAATATAGTCACAGACAGAAAACAGATTCAAATGTAAAGCTGGAGGATGCTCTGTGATCAGGGCGGCTGTCAGAGCCACACAGGGAACAAAGACGTTTGGAGAGAAGGCCACGCTAGTCATCATTCATTAATCTGAGTATTTAATTAGGACCTGCCGGACTCCAAGAAAAATGGCCAAATGAATAGTCAGTTAGCTACTGCCTCTCCCTGCTAATGAGCGAAGGATGAGACTATTGATTTCTCCAACAGTGTGTGTTTGTGATTGTGTGGGACCAGAACATATACGTGACGTGATCATGTCTTGTTACGGCTTTTTCTCACTAAATACCTCTCTAAAGCTGCCGGGTGCGAGGTACATCTTAACGCAGAACATGATGGGGATCCAGATGACGGAGCTGCAGACCATGAGCCAGCCCATAACCATGGACCAGGTGGGGTAGGTGTAGTCCTCGTACGTCATCCCCTTCCACTGGTACAGACTCAATCCCAGGATGCCCTGCACAGAATATGGAAAATGGAGATTTAAAAAGGATGTCTTCTAGGTTACCTTTAAGAATCTCTTCAGCTGCTGCAACACTGACGCAGCTGATTGGCCACAGGTAAAAGGCTTAGATTGTAATGGTCAGCTTCATAGTTATAGATATTGGGAATGGGTTTGTTGTTTATTAGCGTGTGGATGTTTCTGTTTAATACATGAACTCTTTGTAATTCTGGTGTTGTCCCATTTTAGATTGTAAATCATTTCTGTTTCTGTGTGTTGGCCCCTATTCTAAAGCTTCAGATAGCTTATCAGGGTGTCCCATTTCACATACCTCCAATAATTCCCTTTTTTAAGGGAATTTAATAAAAAAATGTTTTATGTTGAATAAAATAAAAATAAAATGAAAAATAAAGTTGTGTTGGCAGATATTCACAGAACAAGACTCACGTTATTTAATTGTATTCATCACTTAAGAGAGAATGCTGATTTCTTTGTGATGAGGTGCAACTTCAGATAATTGTTAAAATAATATTTGTAGCTTTATTTACATCTGTGCAATGTAAATAAAGTATTTTAAAGGAAATCAAATAAAAATCTATAGTTTTTGGAGAACTCTAGAAAACATTTCCAGGCATTTCAACTGCTTTCGCACCTCCGACACAGAATAACCAAGATGGCCTCCAGTTCTGTAACAAGCCTGTTTCTATATCTTTTTCTCAATTTAAAGACTATTTTTACTAACTCGGGCAAAGCATGCAGATTATGTTGCAACCTTCAAAACAAAAAAAGACTTTGCACTGGAGACACAGTGACATGGCACCACAGTTCAATAAAAACAAAGGCAGAAAACCCCACTGTTCTTCACAAAGTCCTATCCCTGCAAACTCCACACTCATGGGTAAGAATATAAACAACTATTACACTTAAAATACAAATGTTTAGACTTCTGTAGCATGATGTAGTCTGAAGATGTATTTCCAATTACTAGATTAAACTCAGGATGCAGAGCTAAAGCTAAAGCAGACCTTCCTTTTACTATATTTACAAACAATTGGACAGGGTGGGACAAAGTGTACCTTCTATTGACTACATTTTGGAACCTGAAAGATTAGAATAGGAGGACGCAATTGAAAACAAACAGAAATAAACCCAGGGCCGACAGAAATACATTAGCTTGGTGTAGTGCATCAATGAGCTTCCCGAGGAAATCAGATCTCCCTGCAGCAGCAGCGAGAGGACCAGCCGGCCTCGCTGCTGCTCCATTCGTCATCGTCACTTCTGATTCAGAGCTACAATGGTTTCCACTACAATTACTAACACGGCTTCTGGCCAGGGTCCAACACTGAACTCTGTGCATCAGATTCTGCTACCACAAAGAAGTGGCCGTTTCCCAGAAAATGTGTTGTCTGGAGATAAATGTATGTGTGTGTTTGCAGCAGCTGGGTTATTAACAATCTGGCAGTAACTATTTTGTAAAACAACTTGAGACTTGGTGACGTGACAGGAATAGGAAAAAATAAATACATTTCTGTTGCTTTCCAATTGCAAATCAATAAACTTGAAAGGCAGCAGTGAAAACATTTTACTCCGCACATGTTCTGTGTGTGTGTGTGCGAGAGAAAGAGAATAAGATGAGTAAAAACAAACACACCGTCAGAATGGTTGGAGTCACAAAACCCCAGCAGATTCTCCAGAATCGGTTTGGCTGGAAACCAATCATCATTTCAATGTCCTCACAAAATCTCTGCAGACCTGCACAGACAGAAAGAGAAGAGAAGTGAAATGAAATAAAAGAACAGAAACATGGGAGAAAGACAGAAAGAGGAGACACAGAGACTGGCCTGGGTTTAATAAGGTCCCTTAAAAAAAGGCCTTGTAAAATGTGTGACTGTGTGTGTGTGAGAAAGAGAGAGGAAAGAGAGAGCATTATAGTTTCTGTGGTCCTTCAGAAAAGGAGCGTGGGAGCAGATGGCTCATTCCTGCGGCTTTATTGACGGATAACAGTGAGTGACATGAAGAGGCAGAGTCACACAATCATTTCAATATGTCACCTGGACTGATGCTCTGACAAACTGGAGTTTTCTCCACCTGGGGAACAGCCTGCTCCTGTACACCTGAGCCCTGTGTGTGTGACTTAGACATCACAACAGAGACCCCTAGTGGTCACAGGTGGAATGACACTGGAGGAAATCAACTGACCGGTGAGAAAGGGAAGTGAGGAGTGCTGTCCTACTCGACTTCAAGATGATCTTATAGACATAGACACCACATCTTTTAAACTTTTTGAAAGTTTAAAACATATTTAAATATTAGCCAGGGTAGGCTATGGCATTCCCTTTTCATTGAATTACCTAACATGTTCATAAGAAAACTAGTTAAGAATGCGACTAGAGAACTTCATTTTTAACGTTTAATAATAGATTTTAAAGTTCCTTTTCATGTTGATAAGGTTTTGAATAAAACATGGGATTTTGTACAGCAGAGATTTTTCAATTTGGGTTTGGGTCGAAAGACTTCTCTATTTCTTCTGTATTAGGTTACTTGTGAATACAAACGTCTCTGAAACAGCATCTGAATCCTCCTGGGGCACTACAACTCTTGCCTAAAAGCTAGGCTGATTAAATGATTATATGTTTAGAATATCTTTGAAGGGTCACTTTGATTGTTTATGTCAAAGACAGCTTTCTAGACATACGAAGTCTGTGAAAACAGTAATGCTTCGGTGGCTCTGGAGGAGCTTTGTCAAGTCTGAGAAAACACCTCAAGTGGCACCACTCGCACTTCACAACAGAGTTTGAAAGACATGGACATTGAGGGTCTTACAAAAGATGTTATCAGGCTGCAAATGAAAAGTGTAGCATTCAGGGTTTGGTGAATGACTTCTTATATAAATGAAGAATTCCTCTTAAAACCAGAAAAGTTTCCTGCAGCTGTGTTCAGGGATGTTTGGATATTTGATGATAAAAGCGTCTAACAAGTGACATGTAATGTTGATAGATTTTTTAATGTAAGACCTGCAAACAAAAGGGAGGATGGAGCTGAGATTGGTCAAGATATGTAGACAAAACTAACCAGTTTTTCATTGATATAAAATGAATACCCAAGGAATATAATCTAATGAGCACATTCGTTCTCCTCAAAGAACAACATAGTCAGTATGTTATGTTTCACACTGTAGGATATAACAATAACATTACAGCCTCCAGTGGCCTCTAGCCATTCATTCTTGCACGTGAAAGAGATCAAACAGGATCAGCTGTACTCACCATAGAGGTAGGAAATCCCCAACAGCTCGCAGATCGCAATGATGACCAAAGAGTAGGAGGCTGCGTACGTGTCCACCAACTGCAGCATGAACATCCCATTCTGTCACAAACACACAAAAACTAAATGTTACAGCAGTTCGAGGTATCATCCTTCAAGGACACCCCTCCTCCTTCACTGTTTGTCAACCTCTGACTTCTCAATGGAGATAGCTGTCACAGCGACTTGCACCGGATGAAAATAAATGACATGTATAAATCCTACTTTGGGCTGGATGTTGCCTTCTGAGGCTGTCTGAGGGGATTTTAATAAGACTCAGCCTCTCTTGTTCCAATCAGCGAGCCTGTCCTCTGAAGGCCCCCGACTTCACTTTACATGCAGAGATCTGTCGGCTTATTCAAAGAAAGAGTCCAAGGACATGTGGAGATAATGCTCAAATGTCCCTGTGGGGCCTTGAAGCATCAGTGTGTGCATGGATTTGTGTTTTAGTGCCGTACCTCTGTAATCATGGGGAACCCGCAGACGAAGAAGATGGCACAGAAGATCAAAGTAAAGAGAGGTTTGTTTTTCCTCAAGTATTTGGGGAACTCGTCCGACACCGAGGTTACGATGGTCTCTATGGTGGCGAACTGGGATGGAGATAATGGAGAGGAAGAAACAGAGAGAGTTCAATCACATGCAAGATGAAAGATTTTTCATTCAGACTCAAATTTGATTAGCCTATAATAGAACAAATTGAATTAAATTATGTTAAATGATCATGAAGTTCGAAATGCTAACTCTGAAAAACACATCACCACATATCCTGACTACAGAATTACTGAAATTGTCTAATCAGCCCAGTTTTGCAGCAGCATTTCAACTAAAAAGCCTCCAGTCAGCACGTTTTCCTCTTTTGTATCAGAGCAGTTGATGATGCTGGAATTCAGTATTCAGAGCCGTTCGTCTCCAATTCATCCTATAAACCCATTTCAGTCAGACAACTCACGTGTTTCTTTAACATGTTTATTAGACCCCATTTACACGGGAGCGCAAACGCAAACGGACCGAATTCGTTATCAAAAAAGTATTCCGTTCACACGCATTCGGCTCATTTAACGTGTCCGTTCACACGAGACCACTGGAGACGCTGTAGTACATATGCCGGGCCTGTAAGTGGCGCTGTACTTCTGCCACAAAATACACCAAAAGCAGCGAAGAAGACCCCCGAGCATGGTTGCCCTTCTGTTTATGCCCCGCGGTGGATTTAGCAACATGTAGTTCATGTAATTCTCCATGTCCACTTGTTGCTGATGGTTGTGGTAGAGGAGCTGTAGATTCTACACTAACATCTGTAGCATGGTCAGTAGCTACTGACAGTAGCTACTGACCATGCTACAGCAGTGAGCAGCAGAGGTGGGTAGAGGCGGGGCTATGGCTTCATCGTTATCAGGAAATGATCGTATAGGGCGTACACACGGAGCCGTTTGACCCCCCAGAGCGTTCCGTTTGCAGATCTATCCACCTTGGGACCCGTTATCGTTTGCGGGGTCCGTTTCCGCGGTTCCGTTACAGCCTCGTGTGAACACCGCCTTAGAAGCAGCATATAGTTGAGTTTGGCGTCTAGGCTCGGGCCTCATCACTCCACAGATATACATAGCACGATGAGTGATGATTAAATAACTAACCCCGCGAGCCTACACGTGTAAGCTGGGGTGGAAGCTGGGGTGGTGGTGGGGCAGGCAAGCAGCAGCGACGTGGAAGTAGCTGCAGCAATAGCAGCAGCAAGCAATGCATAGAGAGATATCTGGCAGGTTAAATAGAGCGGCATATTAAGGAGTCTCTGTTTGGTTGGTTGTAGAGTGGCAAGGGGCGTTATGTATGAATGCAGCATAAGTGCTCGGGTTGACTGCCTGAACTAGCTCGCAGGCTTCGCCCCATTTTTGCCGTAATTCCATTTATTACCAAAACAAATAAAGAACATTATCCTAATCCTGAGGAGGAGCATGTGCCATTAGCAAATGCAACATGATGTTAAAATGGGCTCAGAACCCAGAGGACAGCAGCAGATGAATATGCAAACAGGCAAATTGAGAGAGTTGGTATAGTTTGTGTGTGTATACTCTGTAGAAACCCATTGGAGCTGAGCTATCTGCCTTCTCTCCGTTCGTCTAGTTCCTACTGAACTCCCAAAACTAATTCCCCGTCAACATCCCAAGCCTATTACCGCCGAGCTTCTTTCTACAACAAAGCCACCAGCCCTCTCTTCGGACCTGCCGCTGCCAAGGCAAAGTAACATCATCATTTACTGTTAATGTAGACTTGTGTCTTAATGCACCGTTGTGCCCCCCGCTCCTCTGCTCGGCTCAGAAGCATCACACTGCATGTAGAAGAGTTGGTGTTTTTCACTGGAACTGTTTGTATCCAGAGGTGCTCTGGACTTTTTTTTAAACATGCCAGGGACTTAAGGTTTTTTTTATTGAAGTCACATCAGGAATTAATAAGTGCAGTAACTGACACAATTAAAGTTCTGTAACTTTGAAGAGTGGTGTGCATTGGTAGTACAGAAAAGGAAGCACTTTGAAAGTGTGTTATTACGAATTTAAGCCAACAAAACAAGCTTGAAACACAATTGTGACAGCTATAAATTGATAATGGCTGAATGTTCAAAGCTAGCGGACACAACAAAACAACATTTTACTTATGTTGAATTTTTTTGTGTATAATTTAAAGGCACATTATAATTACATTTATAATACATTTTACATCTTTAATAATAATGTTTAATTTTGTTTAAATACTTTAGTGGCACACTCAAGGCCTCCAGCCTCGTAGATGACAAAAACTGGTTAATGCAGTTTTAAAGGTCCCATGTCATGGCCATTTCCACTGATCATAATTCCATTGTTGAGGTATGCTAAAATAGATTTATATTGTGCAATTTTCCAAACTCACATTGGTTTCTCATACAGCATCTCTGTAAACTACTTGTATTCACTGAATTTCACTCTCTGCCTTTAACGGCTCGTTGTAGCTCCCAACGCTCCAGCCCCCACCCTCCCTGTGAGCACAGTGTGCTCTGATTGGTCGGGACGTTGTGAATCGCGCTGAGCTCCGTGGAGGTGTTGTTTCCTTGTTTAGGATACATAGCGAAACACAGCCAAACACAGCCAAACTCATCCTGAGCACACACAAACTCACAGCCGAAGTAAAAACAATAAGTGTGGCTTGATATTGAGTAAGAAAAAGGTTGATAAACGCTGTGAGAATGGGTCTGCAGAGAGAATTTCGCCACGATCCCAACTGTCTGTTATCAGCCTGCAGCCAGGGAGGAGAAATCAGCTGAGCTGCCTGCTCCCTGCACACAGATGTGTGTGTGTGAGGAAGTCCGTGGATTGGTCAATTTGGACCAATCAGCGGGGGCTTAACGTAACGGCTCCGCGGACGTAACGTAACGGCTCCACAGATTGGTCCATTTCGTTCCGGGTACGGCTTGACATCATGCCGTCCCTGGAACGAAATGGAAGAATCAAATGGACAATGACGTATCTCCAACGAGGCGTTTTGGGGAGGTATTTTCTGTGTTAGAGTTTTACTCGCTACAGGGTGTACTTTGAGGGTTTTGACTCTGCACACCGTTTACATGCATAAAAACCTTCATAACACACAAGGGGACGGGTAATAACCGGAAAAGCATGACATGGGAGCTTTAAGTTTTCTACTTATACTTGATTATCTCCGCACTTTTTTGTGATGGTTTAATCTAGAGAATGTCAGACAATAGTTTGGAAAAATAACTTTATTTATGAACTTTAATTGTACCCAAACATAGATTTACTTCAGGGTTGTTGTTGCAAAACTTTAAGGTCAACTTCATTTCACTCACTCCAATCATGCAGCCCCCCCTCAGCTCAAGAACCCGGAGAGCTGGAGCTCTTCAGCTGAAATCAGCCACAGTGGGTGGTGTGTGTGGGTAATTATGATAATTAGGTCAATGTCTGCAGAGTTTATACCGAGCTGCATGCTGCTAACGAAGTTGAGTGTTTACTTTGAGACTCTCCTTGCCAAAATAAAGGTTGCTGATGTTATCAAACTTAGAAATCTTCACCAAGAGACTGGTGCTGTTTCAGCCACTTCTAAAACATTGTGTTCTCACAAACAAACAATGACTACTCTCATTCCCGTACTCTGATCCAAGATTGTTATTCCCCTTAAACAAAAAGCTCTGCCCTTGGAGCTCGGAAATATAAATAATTTATATAATCATATGAATCTTTGTAATTTTAATTTGCAGCTACAGACCCACAGAGAATAAGCACTGCAGCTCCAATTATCTTTTTAGACTCTGTTGGAACATTATTTTGGTTTAACTGCACATTTACTGTTGGGTTCAGCCTCAGCTCTGCCCTATCACCCTTACTTCCCACAGCAGCAGGCTGTTGTTGTTAAATGTTTTTCCAAAACAATCCCCTATAAATAACACAACAACAACAACAAACATAATTTAGCAGGAAAGTGCATGAATGTTGCATTTACAATCCTCAGGAACTCCACTCCAATCGCAGGATAGTGCTGCTCCATTTCTGCTGGATTTGAAAATGTTGGTTGTTGAAGGTTTTACTAAATTTGACAAGCTGTGGAGTCTTTTTGGCCCCCAAGTGGCCAATACATGTCACCATTTTAAGGTCCAGGTTTGTTTTGCTGTCTTGTACCAGATTCCAAAGAGAGAAGTGACCTCACTTTCACCACTGTGTGCCCACTACAGAGGGATGTCTGGCAGCTCTTTAGCCTATAGCTTAGAACAAAGACTGAAAGCTAAAGATACTTGCTAACATCCATCAAAAGCAAAAATAAAAATCCAAAGCAAAAGCTATTTCTCGACGTCAACCACTGAACAACGTGATTTCAGTGTATGCAGCAACAGTCCTGTCCCTAAAATGAGTTTCCAAGCTAGCTAAACATAGCTGAATGCTCTTCACACAATTGGTGGCTAGCTTAGCTGCTAACAAGACACAACATCTAATAACAAAACTTTTGAGGTTTTATTAACAGAGCTAGTATAACAGTTTCTGACGAATCACATTTTAATTATTTTCACATCTTAATCTGGCTAACATGACAGGTGTATTTTGAATTGGGTTGTTGAATTGTTATTTGTTATGACCTGACTAAGGTGGTCCTGACAAGCGAACCAACTTAAAAAATATATATATTTTAATAAGCATAGTATAATTGTCAATTTAATCAAATAAAGAAGTCATTATAATGTAAATGACAATGAAACTAGTAGCAAGTGTGAGGGGTTAGGGGATGGTGTGTATAAAGGTATGTGTTGGAAGGTGTATGAAGACCAAAAGTAACTAATTAACTATAATTAAATCTAATATAACGATAACTTACTATCAGCTTTTATTGCCTAAAATTCTGATTGTGTCGAAATAGCTGGCACTTTTAGAGTACCATAAAGTAATCTTACTCATTATTATAAGGACATATAGGGCACACACTCACAGACACACACAGACACACACACACACAGACAGACAGAGCAGTGGTTACCATGGTATCCAGGCCAAGAGTCAGGAGCATGAGGAAGAAAATGATCGCCCAGAAAGGAGACAGTGGAAGTCTGGTCAGAGCCTCTGGATACACCACGAACGCTATGCCTGGACCTGACACACACAAACAGAGCAAACACACACAGAGACACACACACACACAGAGACACACATAAATGAAGATGACCCACACCATCTCCACAGCAGGTAAAGTTTTCAAGTGTGTTTGAGTGAACAGCTCCGGCCTGCTGCTGCCGGGGTAACTTACCTTCATCCGCCACCTCCTCTATCGGCACTTTCAACTCATGTGCCATGAAACCAATGACCGAGAAGATGACAAAGCCAGCAAATATACTGGTCGCACTGTTTGTACATGTCACAATAATAGTATCCCTGCAGGGGAAAAGAGGGAAAGGGAGAAACACATGGTTAATATCTGCTTTAGTGATTTAAATAATGCAGCAATATGTTAAACATGCAACATAAAACCAATTTGATATGATGGTAAAGCTCTATCATTTGAAACAGGACATGACTGTTGTGTAAAGCAGAAAAGAGAAACAATGGCGCCATCTGGTGGTAGGAGTTAATACTGCAAATCTAAGTGTTACAGAAAGTGTACACACAGGGGGGTGTAGTGCATTATGCATTATATTGTAAAATAAATAATAACCATGTAATGTTATGCAATGGGCATGTGTGTAAAATATGTTATTAGATAGGTGTATTGAAGGTATTTGTGTAGCAAAACATTCATGATGTAATTTGAATTGAAAGAGAACATTGTAATATATGCCAAATAAATTAGTTATGGATATTTCTTAGACTTATGAAAACAACTCAACAACAAGCCATTCTGAAGTCTAACATTCATTACGTTTTGTTTATTTGGAAAAAAAATTCTATAAATGACAAAGTACAATTCTCTTTAAATGTGTTGGTTTTGTAGATGTGTCCTATACATGTTACCGTTATATGTTTCAAATTGAGTGGGAGTGAAATGAATAAAACACAACAATAGTTCACAGATTTGAAAGACAGAGAGGGATGCTTTAGAAGAGAGGAAATGAAATAAACACTGAACTGCAGGCTGCAAAGAGTCACATTCATTGTTGACATTTCTACCAGACATAAAGAAACAGTGTCAGTGTCTACAGTGACAGTTTGAATGTGTCTGCCAGAAGCATGGTTTACCTTTTGTGTGTTTACCTGTAGCAGTTATTGTGGAACTTATTGTAGGAAGAGAGAGTGATGAGGCCTCCCCAAGCAGCCGACAGAGAGAAGAAGATCTGAGTGGCTGCGTCTTTCCACACCTGACAGAGGAGGAGAGGAAGGGCTGCAGGTGAAGAGCAGGAAAAGGACGGAGAACAACACAACATGGGTGAATTAAGCGTCATGCGTCAGGTACCTTTGCAGACCACAGTTTCTCCCACTTTGGAGTTATGAAGTAGAGGATGCCGTTGAAGGCACCAGGGAGGGTCACTCCTCTGATGAGCAGGATGACCAGCACCACGTAGGGGAAGGTGGCTGTGAAATACACCACCTGAGGAGACAAGATGAGGCGAAGTGAGAGAGGGAAGTAAAACGGGACAGAAAAACGCTTTTTTTCTCTCCTGTGTCAAGTTACAATATTTTCAGTGGGGAAGAGAACATTTGGGCAGTTTGTAGGTATGTCAATCAACTGTTCCAAACACAAGGTGGATGTAATGTTGGGGATCCAATAATGTAGACTAGAGTGTAACTTTTGGTGTTCGGACATCATTTAATATTAATTAACTCTAAGAAAACCAGCAACCAAACAAAAACAACATTATTCAGTCTTCCAGGTTTGATTTTCGCACGCAGAAATGATGATAAATACAAATCATATGTGAGGTTACACACACTGCACCTTAAAATAAAAACTGTCCAGATGTTTTGTCTATTATGTAACATGACAATCTGTTGGCTCTAGACCGTTTCAAGCCAGCTGGTGTCTCTAAAGGTTTGACAGTGTGTGTGTGTTGCATCTATGTCCAGCAGAGGGCAACACTATACAATAATTCAACTTCAATAATCTCTCAATGGGTGCCATACTGTGCTAGATTCTTGTCCAACAAGGGAGGGAAATAGAGCCACCAAAAAACAGCTGGTTTTAACTTCTTTGTTTATATAAGTATACATATTCTTATTCGATTTTTTTAATTATTATTATTATGAAATGGAGCAATTGTTACAGAAAGATATTTCCCCTGGAATAAGTATTAGGATTCGGATACGAATGGATCAAATGAGACTTTGATGATACTTTACAAGATATTTGATCGTTTGTAAATATATTTGTAAATATATTTTTTATCTTCTAAGTTGTATATTTATTTTAAGGCCTTATTAGTTCAACCTGATGAGAAATCAAAATCAATTTCCTCCAGATGTATTAAATATAAAAGATCGCATTTAATTAATCTGCTTATTTTAATATGTTAAAAGCTTGGTCTAAAATCTAACAGCACTTGGTGACATTAAGGGCTCTTCACTTGAGTTCTTCCCTTGCTCACCATTATGCAACATCTCATCACTAGGGGGCACTTTCAATCACACTTTTTCTCCTCAGCAGCTAAATAAAGTAGCAAACAGCAGAACAGATCAGAGGACTATTTTGAGGAGAATTGTTGTTTTGTGTTACCTTTCCTGACGATTTGATTCCTTTGGCTAGAGAGGCGTAGACGATTAACCAGGCGAGCATCAGACAGCCTGCCAGAGGCCAGCGGATATCTCCTGGAAACTCAATTCCTTTGGAGATGTGCAACACGTTGTACCTGCAGGCGGGATTCAAACAGCAAAACTCAGCCTGATAACACACCTCAGTCATAAACTCAAACAAAATGCAATAATACACAATTCAAATATGTATTAGCAAATAACTAACTTCCTTTTTAAATGTTCAAGTCATATATGTATTGTTCCACAAATCTTTCAAATATGTTCTTTAACTGTTTCCAACAGAAATCAAAGTTATTTGAGAAATTGTATAATTATTTGACTTCATTGTTTGTAGAAGTTTCCCCTTATTCTGTCTCGTTTCACACATTCATTAAATGCAACGGAAAAAAAGGTTTGTTTGTTTTTTGTATATGTTTTTGAGTTGTAGATTTACAACTTTTGATTTATAACTGGAAATTGTTGTAATACTTTTATTTAAAAGATTACTATTATTATTTTTGCAGAACATTTTCAGGTGAAACCGGTGTAAAACCTTTTTCTTTGTGTTAAATGCATTCCTTAACATGTCCTTGTTTAGACACAAACATGTTAACACATTGTTCTGTGAAACTCCTTTAAAAGCGTATAGGCAAACTTAAAGGAGTTAAACATTACTCTCTTATCATGATCAAGCTTGGTGTTTTTTTAAAGACTCTAGCAAGTCGAGCACATTCAAGACAAACATATCTGATTGATCTTTCATCTGTGGAAAATAATAAGAAAATAAAAACTTTAAACTAAAACACAGCAGTCATTTATGTTACTATGAGTTCTCAATGCTACTTTTATTGGCTGTTTATGCCAGACTCACTTGAAGTACTCCTCGCTGGGGCTGACGTAGGTGTGGTTGCCGTCCACCGTCATGTTCAGCAGTTTGCTCAGGTTTCCCATAGTGTTTGCGGACAGACAGAAAGAGGAGTTCTTGATGGAGGTGAAGTTTCTGTCCCGCAGGATGCACGAGTCTGTTCCAATCAGAAACCAATACACGTAAACTGGGAGAGACTGGCAGAGTGCTGCAGTGGGACAGAGCTCACTGTCCCTCAGGCTCACCCACTGAGGTTAAGTGGGAGCGGACACTTGGATCTGAGTGGGGGGCTGACAGGAGACAGCAGTGTGGATCCTCAGTGAGAGGACTAGTTAGATGTTTTGTTATTTTTGTTATATCTAGCCAGATGTGAAAATAAAAATGATTACACTGAACTATCTATAATCAATGCCTCATGTATGATACTCCATGTAATGTAAGACAAGAAAATTGCTTTTAATTTGACTGCAAAATATTGTCATGCAGACAAAGTGTGATGACAAAAAAGCTTTTTATCCTATTTTTCTTACACTTGTTTAAGTCATTGTAATGCAGTAATTTTCTTCCTAAGATAAAAAATGGCTAAAACACTGCATATAATATGTTACAAAACAATGGCTCAAGCACTCATGCGCATAAAAAGAGTGTTTTTCCTGTTACTAGGAAAGAACAAATATATCAAACCACTGAACCTAATGCAACAGCACTGCAGAACATGCACAAAAGAATCAACCTCAATAAACGTCTGTTTGACCAAAACATTTGGAAAAAGCACAGTCAAAATGGTATGTGTATTGTTTTGCATGCCTATTGTATCAGATTGTAAAGATGTAATTGAGTCCACTGCACTACATGTACACGTATGATTTGAACGTATTCATTGCCTAAATTACAGGTTTTATATAACCTTCAATAACCATAGTGGTTGACTGATTTTATCACTGCTAATATTTCTCCTTTATCTATAATTTCCATTCTTATTGAGGTCCAGAGGCTAGTGTTACAGGCCTGCAGTTCACGCAGCAGCCAGCAGGGGCCAGTCTCGGGCACACCGCAGCACTGCAGCAGCCTGTACAGTAAATGTGTCAACCAAGCAGTTTTTTTGCTGAATTCACACAATCGCTAAAGGCGAATATTAAACAAAATTAACGGAATTTCGATATTTATTCGAACCACGTCAACATAAAATACCTCCAAGGCCCTGCCCACACATTTTCTGCAGAGAAACCACCATTTCATAAACAGTTTCATTTAAAATTAACCAAAGCCATAACATATCTGACATTATCACACAAAAGAAGAATCACAACTATTTAAAATGTTTGTTTCTAAGTTGAAAATGTCACATTGAGGCCTGGCCTTACATATAGTTTGCCTGTATCATACAAAATGTATGGATTTTAAGTATTTTGGGGAGTGAAAACACCGCAGAGATCACAGGTCAGGATTCATTATACTGCAGGACACCTCAGAGGGAGTCGTGACGCATTGCGCATTGTGGAGAGAGAGAGGTACTTTTGGTGTGTGTGCGTGTGCGTGCGTGCGTGTGTGTCTGTGTGTGCGTGTGTGCGTGTGTGTGTGTCTTACCTAGCAGCAGCATGTCTTTGTCCTTACATTCCGCCGTGTTCCACTCATTCCTACAGTTAGCCCATGGCAGTGAGCCCTTCAACGAAGCGAACAGGTAGTACAGTGTCCAGCACATAATAATATTATAGTATATGGCTATCAAGACAGATATTATCAACATGGCAATCCCGCAACCTAAAATAAATAAATGAGACGAAATATATAAATTACTCTTGAGAAAAAGTAGATGAACTCTTGTTTATAACAACAAATTAGTTTTTTATTTTTGAATTTGCTCTTGGTTGGTTAGTTGTTGCAGTGTACCTTGCAGAGCTGGGATGCATTTCCACACTGACACGGGCCCCTGGCTGGCAAACTGGCCCAGGGCCACCTCCATCAAAAAGATGGGGACGCCGGCAATGCCCAACATTGTCAGGTAGGGGATCAAAAAAGCTCCTGCAAGGAAAGGAAGCAGCAGGATGTACAGAGCGCAGTTTACAAGACAGAAAAGCCGGAAAACTAACACTAAACTGTTATTAAAATTGAATGTAAGTAAAGGATCTCATCAGCTGTTATTCAAACCACACACAGTTTGTGCCATTACATTGATTGATAAATTAAAAAAACATAAATGATCTATAAACGATTTCAAGCAGAGCTGAACAAGTAATTGATTGTTATATCAAATGTAGTGGATAGTAATTGATAATAATGGTATTTATAATATCATGAACTGTGTCTTCGTTCACAGCAGTCTTATACAAATTAGTAAGACTTATTTAAATGCATTTTTCTTAACATTATCTTTATTTCTTTAATTGTTTTCGTTGTTCTCATTCAAATAGTTGCTATCCAAAATCTCTCCTGTATTTTCCGGCTGGTCTAAGGGCTACCAAAGAAACATCTCAAAAGGAGCAATAGAGATACATTAAAACCCTGATTTCTAATGGGAAATAACTCAAATTGTTCGACCAGATGTTTCGTTTGTGTCTTACCTCCACCATTTTGGAAGGCAAGATAAGGAAACCGCCACACGTTCCCCAGACCCACAGCATAGCCCACCATAGACAGAATAAAATCCAGTTTATTGGTCCAGTTTCCTCTGGCCTTATTTTCATCTCCCTCTTCGTCCTCCTCGTCAGCCTAAGAGGGAAAAACATTCAATTATTCTCCAAAATAAAACCCACACTAGTCTCCAAGTTAAACCATAACTGTATATTAATACCATAAATAAAGACCTGGGCCTGAAAGATGGAATTGTATAATGAAAATATATGGACGTTAGTTCTTTTAAGTCAAAAACCACCAACAAAATGCACATCTCTTTTTAAAGAACAAATAGGCTACAATTTTATTTAACTATCATAAAGAAACCTTGAAATATTATCCCCATTTAAAAATACAAACGAATCATAGAATACAAATATTTTAGAGTTCAGCTTGGTAAATTTGATCTGAATTTCCCTATAAAGGTTTATCTTATCTTATGATTTCCTCACTAAAATTCAATTTGTTCCATTATGTTGATTTCATTAACAGAGGCAGTGGACAATCAGATATCAGCACCAACTTTCCAATGACAAACCTTTATAAAACTCGTCTTTAACTGCACTTATGGGCCCAATATTGCAACCAAACCGCTTGAAAGCACCTCCTAAATCTAAGATTATAATATTAAAAAAGCTGCTAAGGGTCCACAAATATAAAGCAAATGGGCTACAAAAAATTCATAAATACAATTGTACGGCAGGATATGAGCAGAATACAAGAAACTGCATGAATATTCAGATAATAAACAACACCATGCATGGGAATGTGTGTATTTGTGTGTGTGTACGTGTAAGTGTGCGTGGAGTGGGGGGTGTCCTCCACGGGACTGAAACAATCCGCAGTCTCATGTAATACAGTGCTGTCTATCAGCCGGATAACACCTGGGCTTTTGGGCCATACCAAGTGTGTCTGCTGGGAGCGGGGAACACCGAAAAATACCACGAGAGTATAATTGAATTCCATTTATCGTGCTACCATTGTTACTGTCTGAAGAAAAATCAAGCAGAACAAATCATTGGAAATCGCTCTGTACGAAAAACAAATAGTCTCGTTAAGGACTAATGTTCCATCTGCACTGATGCTGATCAGATCATCCATCACACTGATTCATAAATAAGACGCCGTTTTGTTCCCGGATATTTAGCTGACATAAGCAGGTTTGAAAGTTTTGATCAGATTGGTGCAGAGGGATCCGGACTTGACGCTGCGCAGAGCAGGGACCCCAAAGAGCTCAGAATCCCCCCCAAAGAGCTACAGTCCTTTACATGCAATAATCCAGCGTTTACACATGCTCCATTCAAAGCCCCTATAAACCAGCAGCATGCACCTCTGCCATGTGGCTTTGTGGAAGTGTTAATACAGCCTGGATTACAACATGGAAAAATACTTTCTACTATAGCATTTGTAAAAAGCATTTGTTTTATATTCCAAAAATTAACGATCTATATAGCCTACCCCTATCTTAATGAGTGCTTAATTGTTAGGCTATGATCTGATCGCCATGACAAAAGGGGTCTCATAATGTTTTAGTAACCGGGGGTTACACATCCACTGCTTCATTCATTCACCACTTTTTAAGCACATATGTGGCACATCTGTGACACATCTGAGACAAAACCATAAACCAGCCTGCACATTTTTAAGGGACATTCATATCATCTCAGCATTACACACTCCGGATATTTCACTCCACCACACATCAGCAGCCCTGCTCTACAAAAGCTCTGCATGGCGGTGGGAGCTCCCAGGCGTGTGCACCTCTCCCGTTGGAAACAGCTGGTTAGATCCACTCAGAGACACACGGAAACATCCACACCGCTCTCAGACCAGCCGCTCTCCGTTAAGGAAACGCTTCATTTACCTGACTTACCCCCGCCACGGTGCCGGGCTGAACAGACGTGTTCCCATCTGTTCCCAGGATGATGGTGGTTTGGCTCATAGCCGTCCAGTTGCCCGCGGTGTTGTTCTGCTCTGCTGCCCGCAGTGGGTCGCCGTACAGGGCGGCCCCCTCTCGGGCCGAACCTGCGGATTCTTTCCTGAAGGCCGAGTTCACGACCACGGATCCAGGGGCCGCCGGAGCGGTGTTTTTAAACGTCCCATACGCTTTATTGCTGTCCAGTTCTCCCGGTTTATTTTCCGTGGAAGAAAAAGTGTTGCCCTCGTTGCAGGGAGCAGGCGGCTGAGGCGCCGGGTGGTGGTGAGGGGAAGCCGGCGGGCAGGCGGCCGTGTTGTCCGGTTTGCTTGCTGTAAGTCCCGCAGCTCCGTCGGGCTGCTGCGCTGGGATGTAGCCGGTGGGAGCGCTGGCCGGCTGTTTGGCCATTTCTCTCTGGTCAGAGAAATCCTGGAACATGGGAGTGACAGATCAGCAAAACAAAAGGCAGAAAAACGACCGAAAGCATGAAGCTGTGGGGAAGCTGCTGTCCAGCTGTGCTTTGGACCTAACAATACTCAATTCTCTTTCTGCAACATTTTTCTGCAGCATGTTCTGGCTGCTCTATAGTTTCAGCTCACAGTCTACCCGGTGTGTTGGTTTGTGTGGTGTGTGTGTGTGTGTGTGTGTGTGTGTGTGTGTGTGTGTGTGTGTGTGTGTGTGTGTGTGTGTGTGTGTGTGTGTATATATATATATATATATATATATATATATGTGTGTTGGTGGGAGGGGGTTTGCTCGGCTTCTCCAGTTCTCGCTTTCTGCAAGATTCTTTAATTTTACGCCCCATTTCCCCCTCATGTCATTCAGCCACACACATCCACTGATTTTATGGGCAATAGACAAGCTGCTGCGGGTCTCTTGGTATAGCTCCACTCTCCCCGGCAGGCATGCAAGATCACCGGCGTTACAGCAGTGAGCGGACCCGAGGCGGGGAATTACAAATGACTCCCTGAAATGCTGCTTTGAGGGATAGCAACCAGAAAATCTTCAGTTTTGAAAAAGAAAAAAAATCGACTTTGTCATTGATTAATGCTCAGAAGTGATTTCAATTAGTGAGAAAACAAAGAACTGCAACTGGTTATAATCGCTTATATTTAAAAAGAAAACAAGTGCAATCAAAAATAGAAAAGTGGTATGATAAACAAACATACACAGTTTTCTCGTGTCAGAACTTTAAAAAAGCCACACAATGGGCCTCTACAAGTTAGAAAAAACGGAATAGTAGTGACAGAAAGAGAGAAAAAAGTTTTTAAATGTGGAGCCGCAGCTGAAAATCAGCACCATGGAGAGCGTCGGAACAGCAACGTGCCAAACTGCATTGAAAAAGTGTCAATTAACATGAACAAATCCCAGAACAAGTTCATTAAACAGATAAAACAGCAGATAAAAGTCAAAAAAGTGTTTTCGAACACTTACCATATTTGGGTGTCTGCTGGCAGGCTGAGGTCAGCTGTAACAGAGGACTGGAAGCGGACTGCCTGTACCCGCGCAAAGCAGCGAGTGCAAAAGCTCTTCTATAGCTCCGTGGGAAAGAGTGGAGTTTGCGTCAGTGCAGAGCAAGGTGCCCTTCGCGTGACATTTTCTTGATAATAGGAGTTTGATAAATCATTGGCCTTGATTCGGATTTTTAAAGGAGCCAATACGACGAGGGGCGCGTGAGTGCGTGCGTGAATTGTGTGCGTTCTTGTTACGCACGGGCACGGCATACGTGAGCGCTGGACGGACTCTTTCCAAAGCTGATTAATACACTTGTCTCTGGGGATGTGTTACACACACACAGGGACGCATCCCACGCGAGCACACACACTCGTTTGGGATAAAGATTTCCAGGTTTAGGATTTTATTGGAGAGGATCTAATGCAGCAGAGAGCACGTGTCTAAATAATACTGTGCTGAGTCTTGATTCTCTGGTACAGTTACCATTACAGTATAGCCACTAGGCTACTGAAAGGACCATTTGCAGTGCACAAGATTCTTGATTTTATAGAAAAACGTTGTTATATCCCGCCATAAACATTTAGGCCCGACAATGCAGAAGCTACACAATGTAATAAATGGGGGCATTAGTTGTAGAGGTTTATAATAGTTGGACAGTTAGATAGACGAGGATGGTATTCGTACACATATTATCATACATAGACATGCATTAACATACACGGTCTAACACTATGGGCTATAAATGGTCTGAACTATAAATAGTTTTTCCACTTGGCAGGTTTTACGCACTCGAGGTTCTATACGTTCCTTCGTGCGTCAGCAATAGCAGCATTGATCAAGTTAAAAAAAAAAGTGGGCGAGGTCTTTATAAAGCTACTCATTTGTTAAAGTCTTACGCAAGAAGGAGGCCTCTTTTTTTCTTAAATCACGTGTGTCAGGAGGAACCAGAGCCAACCATAGAGCTTGGACTGTAAGCAGTGACAGCAGAGGAAAAAAAGTGCCATGGAGATTCTAAAACGCTGCATTGCGCATACCATCCTCCAAGCCTGCCTTTAAACGCCCAATGTGTATGCAAGTCCTGTGTGTGGGAATGTATAGGCCTTTCAACAAAAAAAAGGCACAAACGTACTCGTTTGTATCATCAATTAAGGAAAAGTTGTATAAGTGTTCATTATAAACAGTTCAGGCCTCCTTGCAAAACAAAATAATAAATTAAAAAAACACACAGAGCCAACACAAGGGAGGGAAACTTGTTTCGTGTTTAAATATGACACTTTATTGCAACAAATTATTTGTGCTGAATAAAGCAGAAATATCTCCGGCCCTGTGATTGGCAGTCCAATTATAAACGTGTTAACGAAAAAAACTAGGTAGTTGCTTAGCAACCACGATGTTTAGTTAGCTGATTTTACAAGCGATATGCCCAGGCGAAAAATGGGATAGGCATAACATGTAATAAAAATAAAAATAATAATGATAAAAACCCAACAATTAATATCTAGCCATTATCCTATTTTTCTTTTTCTTAATGAATTAGTTTGAATAATTATGCAACTTTTACCAAGATAAGGCTGGATAATGCTTAACATTAAAGAACAATGCTATCATGTAATCAAATAGTTTCAACTGAACCCCAAAGGCCTGTTGATACACTGTTAGATAAAAACTTAGAAAAATATCTCATTAAAATAAAGAAGCGAATCTGCTGAGTGTTTTTAACCTTTTTTTTCACGACACCTGAGCAGGTTGGAGGCAGTGTCCCGGCTGTGATTACTGCGGTTACACAGGGACACTCCGGCCGTTCGCTCACTGTGCACGCGGCGCTGCCTCCCTTGTAAATCTCCGGCCGGCCCAGATAAGAGCTGCAGCGGTGTGTTGGCCGCCGCCTTCACTTTAATTACATTGTCAACACAGAATAATTGTAATTGATTTCTGCTCGTCTTCCAGAGTCCGCTGTACACGGACTACTGCACACACACACCACATACACACACGGCTATAGGCCTACTCTACATTTGATTCCCTTGTGGATTTCAAATAACTGACAGAACTTGGGATGCTTTGTACACATCAGCAGAACAAAGAGCACGTATATCTCAAATACGTTTCCTTGTCTAACGTGAGGAGTCCCTAAAATACGTTCGTCTTGTTTTTCTCACAAACCTTTTTTCAATAGTTTATTTGTGAAGAGACCAAGTGCTGATCGAGGAGCTGAACTAACCTCCACGCGAGGGGTTTCTCGGTGTCTCCTCGTGCTCGTTAATTAAATGAGCTCGTGTAATTAATTGATCCCTCCCACTGTCGCCTGACTGATAAGAAGTCGCATCCATCTAAATCGCCTGGGAAGCAGTGATTCAGAGGAGGAGGTCACCCAGGGGCCCGTGGCACCCATCATCATCATCATCATCATCATCAGTCTTGGACCTGCATTTGTGTTAGGGAATTTCCGTAACAGCGTTAGAAAAACCGTGCTGTAATTGTACTAATAATGACAGTTATACACGCGGTCTGATTTGTTCATGCAGCTGCTTTTTTTTTTAAACAGACTCGGTTTTTTTGTGACAGTCTCATTCAAGGTAGTAGGGCAATTTCAATTATAGTCGGCCACTATTAGTAATACTCTAAATACATGTTGATTGTGTAAAAACAACGTTTCTGAGTCGGTTTTTAATAACTTTAACCAAAGTTAAACTAAATAATGCACATATTTTTACTTTTTATATGATAACAAATATGAATCTTCCTTATTAAAAAGCTGTGAGGCAACATTTGATAGTACACTAGACATTAACAGACAACATTTTAAAGTAGTAATTCCACCATGTCTAAGGTAATTAATAGCTGACTATAAGGTGATTAAGAACATCTGCATGCTAAAAAGACAGCTGATTATAATTGTATTTCTTCAAGAACCACATATTCAACAGTTACAGCCTCTACTTTTTTCATCCAAAGAATAGCCTGTATGCTCCATTTCATGTCAGTGTGCAGACCAGACTGTATTCAAATAATGGCAGAGGACACAGAAGCAGTGAACATACATCTCAAGAGATGACTGTCAGCAGGCAGCCAGCCGCAGTCTGTCCCTCTTCCTCTTCCTCTTCCTCTTCTTCCTCCTCCTCCTCACAGACCACTACACTATCCAATAGTCCAGGATTGATCATCTCAGGCAAAGAAGAAAAGGAACACATATTTAATTGTAAGCAGAGCTTGCTCAATGAAGTATGTAAAGAGGCTTCAGTCAGCCTTTTTAAAGCTGAAATTCATTTTGCATTGTCCCAGTAAACTCACGGAAGATGGATGATGCCTCCGGTGAGATATCATGCAGCTCAAAGTAGGACAATAAGGAGGAGAATGTGGAGGGAAATTAGGAGAAATACTTGGCAAAAGGACAAAATGTCTTGACGAAGAGCTGGCGGACAGTTCGTCTCGATGCTTTTCCTTTAGTTAGACATTTTGATGAGACAGGAGTGTATAGGTGCACAATAAGAGTCATTTCAACCGTTAAGTCTGTGTGGATTTGGTTATTTTCAAGTCACAAGACGTTTAAGTTTAAAACTGGGCCAAATTTA